CTCTCTCTCTCTCTCTCTCTCTCTCTCTCACACACACACACACACACACACACACACACACACACACACACACACACACACACATACACACAAACTTTCTCGCTCTCACACAAACACACGTCAAATCCTGCAGACGAATAATTACGAGCCATTGACTATAAATTTCAACATGTCATAATCACGGAATGCACAGGAGGGGGAATTTGCTTCAGCTTCTTATCATTGTGTTCTGCAGCCATCTGCTGCCCAGGGAACTGAGTTTACGAATACAACCTGCCATTGCTACTTGAGCTGGAGTTCTTTTTTTATTTTTTTCCGCAGAGCAATTGTCAGAGACTCACTCTTTCTCATCAACATTGTAGCTGAAAGATGGCTTGTATACATTCGTAATCAGGTTGTGTTTTATTGAGGGCAGGATGGTAGCAATTGTTTGACTGATCAGCTCGGTTCCTTTCCTTGATAATTCTGACACCGACTGCTGCGTTGAAGCTGATCAGAACACACCGTCATTATTGCAGAAATCTTCAAATTGAGGGCATTCTCACACCAGGACCTCCTGCATGCAGCTGATTGCATTGGATATCCATGGCTGTGAAAAGGTAGAGTGGGTTTTATAGAGTGGGTTTTATGGTTGTGCGGGGAATGAACCCTCGGGGGGCCCTTATCAGACACACAAGTGTTCTGGGATGCGGCCCCCAGCTGCGAGGAATGAACCATCAGCATGCCTACCTGCATGCATGCATGCATGCAGAACGAGCAGCATGAATGCACAAACATCAGCATGCTATCTGTATTGCAATGAGGATGAGGTGTGACGTGGTGACTTGAATGTTTTTCCCTTGATGGCTTTGGTCACGGCCATTTAACGCCTGACACGTGTACTTGGCCTGTATGATCTCTTTTCTTTTCCCTTTTTGATTTTCTTCTGTAGGTGGGTAGGCGTGAAAATTATTAGGTCCACATGCGTGATGTGACACATTCAGAAAATGGGCAGGAAAAACGAATAAAAAATGTGGCAAAAAAAAAGAAAAAGAAAAAGAAAAACGCTGGTCAGGGGATGATAAGGGTGAATACGGAGCCGGGGGGAAAATCAATTGGATAAGAGGAGGAAGGAAGAAAGGGGGCAGGAGAAGGGAGCCCCTTCCTCCCCCGTCTCGCTCCTCTTCCCCCTCTCCCCCCCCCACAACCCCCAACCCCCCCTCTTCCCTCTCTCTCTCTCTCTCTGTGCGGTTATGCAATACGGAAAAAAAGTGGAGCTCTGTAATGTATTGGGGTTTATTACTGCGGTTTTGCAGTTTTATTTTCCCCAAAAATTTCGAAGAAATGGGCCAAAAGAGAAGGCTGGGAAAAAAAAAGAAAAAAAAGTGGAGGTTGCGAATTCAATTGGATGTACAATTATTGGATTGCAAATCACGCCCACCTCCCCTCCCTCCAAAAAAAAAGAACGGGAAAAGTTATAAAACCTCCCCACCACGAAACCTTCAAAGGTTTCGCCGCGGGGAGGTTTTATAACTTTTCCCCCGAAGAAAAGGAGTTTTTTTTTTTTTTTAACAAAAATGCGAGTCCCTTTTCAGCAGATCATCGATCTATTTGTCAGACTCTGCAAGTTCCAAAATGTCATACATGCATTCATTGCGCTCACTGGGCCATTTCCTTTTTTTTTCCCTCTTTTCTTTTTCCCTTTGGCGATCTTGGATTGACCTTCTTGGTTTACAGGTTCGTTCGCCCCCCCCCCCCCCCCTTCCTTGGTTTACAGGTTCGTTTTGGCTGTTGTTGTTTTTCCTGTTTTCTTGTTCCCTTGGACGATGTTGCAGCGATCACGGAGCGATCTTCTTGGTGACAAGTTGAAACAGCTGCCATCATAGCAAAAGTCAGTTGCTTGCATGCTGGGAAGTGAAGAAAGAGCTGACGTCGTGGAAAGTGCACGCCAGACGTGACGGAAACAGTCGATCAACGTGCATGATCCGGGACTTGATTGAAGCAGAATTGGCTCTCCGAATGCATGCATGCACGTCGGTACTTGGTCGAAGCAGAATTGGCTCTAAGAATGCATGAATGACGTGCATGCATGCATGTAACAGGACTTGCTCGAAGCAGAATTCGCTCTACGAACGCATGCATGACGTGCCTGCATACACGTCGGGACTTGGTCGAAGCAGAATTGGCTCTACGTTGGCTCTACGAACGCATGCATGACGTGCATGCATACACGTCGGGACTGTGTCGAAGCAGAATTGGCTCTACGAATGCATGCACGTCGGGACTTGGTTGAAGCAGAATTGAAGCAGAATTGGCTCTAAGAACACATGCATGACGTGCATACATGCATGTTGGGACTTGGTCGAAGCAGAATTGGCTCTACAAACGCATGCATGACGTGCATGCATGCACGTCGGGACTTGGTCGAAGCAGAATTGGCTCTACAAACGCATGCATGACTATCATGCATGCACGTCGACACTTGATCGGAGCAGAATTGACTCGACGAACGTATGCATGCACGGCGAGACTTGGATCGATGCAGAATTGGCTCTATGAACACATGCATGATGTGCATGCATGCACGTCGGGACTCGATAGATGCAGAATTGGCTCTATGAACGCATGTATGATGTGCATGCGTGCAGGATGAACGAGTCTACATCATCTCACACTGATCCTGCAGCACTCTTGCAGGGATCTTGCAGCAATCATGGAGGCGATCCTCGTGGTGGAGGGTTGAAGAGTTTGCCGACGTCGTCGAAAAGGTCAGCTCAGTTGCATGCAGTGTCCAAGATAGATTGTGAATGGGACAGCGATGGATGGTGATGATCGTGGGGGACTGGCTAGGAAGTGAAAAAAAAAACTTGACGTCATGGAAAGTGTATGTAGAACTCGATGGAAACAGTCAACCGGCGCGCATGGAAAGTGCAGGTCAGGACTTGATTGAAGCACAAACGGATGTACGCATGCATGCATGTGTGGACGTGCATGCAGGCGATCAAACGGAGCTGCTACGCATGCATGCATGTGTGCACGTGCATGCAGGATGAACAAGAGTGGCTATCATCTCACACCGTCTTGGAGCGAGCTTGGAGCGATTTTCTTGGTGGACAGTTGAAAGAGATTGCCGACTCTATCCAAAAAGGCAGTTGCTTGCATGCAGCACCCACGATCGACTGACAATGGAGGATGATGGTCATGGGGGTACTGGATGTGAAATGGGAACACAGAGTTGACGTCATTGCAGACAGCCCTTGTTTTCAACATTTGTTTTGTGTTGGTTTGTCTTGTTTTCGAATGTTTTCTCTGAGAGAAATCTGCCCTGCTCTTCCCATGTGTGCACATGGCACGTATGGACGACACACTGCAACCACTTAACCCGGAGACGACATGACTAGGGACGATGTTTCCCAGTCGATGTGGCGGTCGAATGGTATGCCTATGCATGCAAGTGTTGCGAAGCAGACCTGAGTTCGAGTCCTCCTGCCGGATGAGATGAACAAAATAACTCGGAGGATGATGACGGAGAACCCGACGCATGACCAGTGACTGCACGTGGCAGGCCGCTAGCAGAGGTTAACCCACATGGCGAGCAGGCGCTGGGCTGGGAGCATTTGATAAACCCATGGGGGACGGGAACCAGCGGATAGCTCAGCCGAGTCTGTTCTCTGATAGGCAAATTTGACAGGCATCTGCTGAAGAATTACCAGCTTGAAAAAAAAGGAACAGGAATTCAAAAGGAAAAGAGAAGAATTGTCAGGTCCATTTCTTGCTTTGAGACAGAGGGGACGTGGAGCCATCCCCTCCTCTTCCCCCTCCCTCTGTACTCTCAATCTTTAAGTTACACATCGTACACCCGCATGTGCTCCTGCGAGTGCACACACACACACACTGGCAGAGTCTGTCACAGTCATCCTTTTCTATTTGCACTCATGGTTAGCGAATACACAAGACACACACACACGGGAGAGAGAGAGAGAGAGAGAGAGAGAGAGAGAGAGAGAGAGAGAGAGAGAGAGAGAGAGAGAGAGAGAGAGAGAGAGAGAGAGAGAGAGANAGAGAGAGAGAGAGAGAGAGAGAGAGAGAGAGAGAGAGAGAGAGAGAGAGAGAGAGAGAGAGAGAGATTATTATTCTGGGAGTAATGGATTGCCAGATTGACGTCCCTGACCAGAGGATGGGAGAGAGGGAGAGAGAGGGGTAGTCCGAATAGGCCAGAATTTTTTTTAGGATGAGAGAGTCTGAGAGTGGAGTAGTGGGGACTAATATGGAAGCCCTAGAAACTTTTGAGCAATAATCTGACAAGCTGCTTACTGCAACTTTTCCTCTTTCTGCTTGTTTAAACTTTAAACTATCTAATATTGACCACTCCAAGTCATTTGGCATAACCTGGAGAGGCACTGGGGTGTCTAGAGCTGAACAATCAGGTAGTTCATAAAACTTTAGTTCATTGGCTGCACTTGGGTGGATCAGATAGTTCAGCGACGTTTTCAGATCGTTGGCTGGACTCGGGTGTCTGGAACTGAATAATTACATAGTTCATTGACATTTCATTGTTTCATTCCCATTTCATTGACAGTTCATTGTTTCATTGCCATTTCATTGTTTCATTGACATTCAATTGTTTCCATGGCCGCACTTGGGTGTCTCACACCTAATACTTAGATAATTAAATGGCATTGCACTTCCATTTCAGTGCCATGTCAGTGACATTTCAGATCGTTGGCTGCTCGGGTGTCTCGAGCTAATTAATCAGATAATTCATTGCTGTTTCATTGACATTTCATTGCCGTTTCAGATCGTTGGCTGCACTCAGGTGTCTGGAGATGAATAACTAGATAGTTAATTGACATTGACATTTCATTGCCCTTTTATTGACATTTCATTGACATTTCATTTACCTTGATATTTTATTGACCTTGACATTTGACATCTCGTTGACATTTCATTGACATTTCACTGACATTTCATTATTCCGTTGACATTTCGTTGACGTTGTGTTGACATTTCGTTGACATTTCAGATCGTTTTCTGCACTTGAGTGTCTGGAGCTGAATAATTAGATAGCTCATTGGCATTTCAGATCGTTGGCTGCAGTCGGGTGTCTGGAGCTGAATAATTAGGTAGTTCATTTCATTGCAATTTCACTGCCATTTCATTGTGATTTCAGATCGTTGGCTGCAGTTGGGTGTCTGGATTGAACGTCGTTTGATTTGTTTTTGTTTAGGTAGCTCAGTTGGTTAGAGCAAAGGACTGAAAATCCTTGTGTCAGTGGTTCGAATCCACTTCTAAACAGGCAACATCGATCTCTTTAAGAAACTCAACTTGGTCAACTTGCTGAGTAAGTGGGCTAAGGACGGATTCGAAGCATCATTCGTGGATTGCGTAGTCCAATACATTAGTACCTCAATGTTACTCTGAATAATCAGATAGTACACTGACATTTAATTGACATTTCATATCGTTGGCTGCACTTGGGTGAGCTGAATAGTTAGATAGTTCATTGGCATTTCATTGCCGTTGCATTGACAGATCAGATTGTTGGCTGCCCTCGAGTGTGTGGAGCTGAATAATTAGATAGTTCATTGCCACTACATTGACCTTTCGTTGACATTTCAGATCCTTGGCGGTCGCCATGGCACCAAAGATGGCCACATGTAAGTACTCAGATAAAACACTGGAAGGTAACTGGTTCGAGGAACGGCAACAAGAAGTATATCACGTGACCAGGCGTTGGAGGAAAAGGCATGACGAAGGGACGGCCTATCCCGTACGAAGAGCGGATGAGGGGTTCCCCATGCTCTTCCGGTACGAGAGTGGATACTCAGAGACCTTTCCGATTCATTCGATCTCGCATTTTCATCGCTATGGCAGTACCGACACGTGGCGCACTCTCCCGTCGAATCCGGCCTATCGGCCGCTTTCCTACGAGACGACTACAGAGGCCTGCAACCAAGCGATGGTTGCAGCAGTACGAGAAGCGGCAGCAGAATCAGCTGCAGCAGCAACAGGAGCGGTAGGAGGAGGAGGGGGAGCAGGAGTAGGGGGGGGATTTGGCCGGGCAGCCGGGCCAGCCGGCATAGCTCCAATAGATGGACGAGGAGGACGAATTAACAACACCCACACCTACCTTAATCGGAACAAGAAACTGATAGTCTCATTCGACAACTTCGACCAGCAGATCCTGGTCCGTAGGGCTCGCCATCCAACAGCTGTGGAAGGGGGGGAGGAGGACGAGGAGGGGGGCTACGGGAGTGTCCTACCCTCTCACCCCAAGCTGAACTACGACCCTTTTCAGACTACGAACCAGTACATGTTCGAGATCCTGCCGGCACTGGCTCGAAAAAAGCCACCCCTACCTGAAAAATGTGACGATACGCGATTTAAGGGGGGTTACTGGGCGGCCTCTAACCCCAATGTCCCACATGCTAAGCCTTTCCACTCCTCAGATCGGACCTTCTTCAAGTACCAGTTTATCAGGGAGGAGTTTCAGGAAAAGAACCTGGAACCATTTAGGTTCTTAAAGGGTGACCCTCCAGGCGTATCGCCACGGGCCCATGGGATCATCCATTGCGTTCCGGGACAAGCGGATGTCGATGACGACAATTTGGTCCCGGAGGTGGTCCCGGAGGAACAAGGCGAAGGCGGCCCTGCATCAGTGGGACAACAGAGGGACCAAAATGCCCATCCTGAGTGCCGGTGTCATTGTAACTGCTGTTGGCATCGGGACCTCTGCTCAGTCTGCTGCGCAACCCCCATGAAGGAGGAGGAGGGCGAGGAGGAGTTGGAGGAGGAGCTGGAGGAGGAGAACGAGGCTCAGGAGGAAGTGGCAGTGACGACTGTGGAGGAGGAGCAGAAGGAGGAGGAGGATGTAATATATCATTCCCCATGCCATTCCAAGAATCCAACCTTCCTCCCCCGTGTACGCCGTGACTGACTGGGATCTGCCATCATCCTGAACAAGGATGCGTCGACGCTTCCCTCGAGAGCAAGCTAACATAGTAGAAAGGTCCATACCACCACCTCCAATCGCAACTCGGATCGCAGCCCCGATTCAGTCGACCTGCAAGTCCGATCGGCACTCCGCAACTCCACCTTCCATCTACACCACCTGGACCAGCAACAAGAACAGCCATTGCAGATCAGAACTGCTGCACTGCGACCTCAGCTGTCGGTAGAGTTGCTCTTGCAGATCCACCTCTAGATGCATCTGCCAAATTTAGCTCATTGACAGGTGCAGCTGCAAGTTTACCCCAACTCCCTTGTATGTCAACCTCAACCCCAACTTTGACAAACAACTACAGTGCAACTCCCCCTGTGGACAGGCAATGCAACTTTCAGCTTTTAGTGGGGCAGCAGCTGACCTCGTGAACTGGAGCTTCCCCTTGTGATCTGCAGAACCACCTGGAACTGGAACTGGAACTGGAACTGCAGCTGGAAGTGCAACTGGATGGAACTGAAACCTGCAACTGGAACTTGGAACTGGAACTTCGAACTGGACCCTGGAACTGGAACCTGGAACTTGGAACTGCAACTGCATGCTACACTGCATTCCGGATTACGCAGACGCTTATGCCGGATGGGATGCACTAAGTAGTTTGCTGTAACTGGAGCTTATGCCAGGTGGGATGCACTAAGTAGTTTGCTGCAACTGGAGCTTATGCCGGATGGGATGCACTAAGTAGTTTGCTGTAACTGGTGCTGGAACTGGAACTGGAACTGGAATTGGAACTGGAACTGGAACTGGAACTGGAACTGGACTGAAATTGGAACTTGCACTTTTGCCTAGAACTTGGAACTGGAACTGGAACTGGACTGGAACTGGAACTGGAACTGGAACTGAAACTGGCACTGCAACTGGAAATGGAAATGGAACTGGCACTGCACTGCAACTGGAACTGGATCTGGAACTGGAACTGGCACTTGTAGCCAGAACTTAGAATTGAAACTGGAACTGGAACTTGGAGCCAGAACTTAGAACTGGAACTGGAACTGGACTGGAACTGGCACTGGCACTTGTAGCCAACTTGAAGCCAGAACTTGGAACTGGAACTGGATCTGGAACTTGAACTGGGACTGGAACTTGGACCGGAGCGGGAACTGGAACTGGAACTGGAACTGGGAATTGTGTCTGGGGGAAGAAGTAGTCCAACTACCCTCACTCCTAAAACGGTGTGCGACTCAAACTGCAAGCGGCCGGAGTGTTTACCTGCAGAAGAGGCAGACTCTCTCTGCAACAGTATCTGAAATGCAAGTGTGTACTACCTGGTACTACCGCGCAGTAGCCACGTACGATCGCATGTGACCAATTGACTTAACCCAAACACCTTCAAGCGGCGTTGGATGGCACTCCTAGTGCCAGATGGCGGATGATGGAAAAGTTGAGGGCACTCCTTGTGCCATATTGCCAATTGTACTACCTTAGGGTTTTGCCTCGACCCTAAACCAATAAGCACGGTTTTACTCCGGGCATTTACTTTGATTTGTTTCTTCCGTTTTGTTCTCCGCATGTGTTGCTCTGCGATGTCTTTGTTCTTGATTTCGATGAGAAAATAATACGACTGGAGCGTCAGGAAAATCTGGTGCAGTCAATATACTCTGGAGTTGAACTGTTTGGGGTCCACAGCACCTCTGAGAGGCCAGCCCCTCTGAACAAGTTGGGGAGTGAGAGGATCAGACGAGGCAAGGAGGGAAAGGCAATTGGAGAAGTTCGAGGAGGAGGGAACAGAGCATGCATTGGCAAGTGCAGAAAATTGTTGGCGATTTTGGGATTCTGGCAAGTGCCAACTGCGGTACCCTCGTCCAGTCCTGGTCTACTGCAAGTGTGGTGGGCATCAACTGAGTCTCTCTTCTTTTTCCAACTTGAAAATGCTTTGGAAGATAACTTTGGCATAGGGAGGTTAACACAAGGATAACAGGGGCGAAGAGGGAGATGAGATTACATATGAATGCCAAGGATGCAATCAATGCTTTGTTGATCGTCATCTTGCTGTTCCGAAGTACACTCATTCTAAGCGATTGGCTTTCTTTCCATGGATGTTTGTGTGTATGTGTGCGAGTGTCTGTGTGTGTGTGTGTGTGTGTGTGAGTGTGTGTGTGTGTGTGTGTGTGTGTGTGTGTGTGTGTGTGTGTGTGTGTGTG